CACAATATTTTGTGGAAAACTATAATATGAGCTTAACCAAAAAGTTTAATTGTTAATAATATTCATGAATCGTTATAAATAATAAGACATAAAAAAGATCATGTAGTATTAAATAGAGGTGAAGGCATGGCGAATATTTCTGCAAGAATGTGGATTGATCTCCTTTGAATGGTTTAGCGTGAATGTATAAAAAATAACACACAGGTCAATGACCTACTAACAAGTTATAAATACTTTGGCAATTGTCTTGTAATTTACTCCTGAGGATGACGTTGTAATGTCGAAACATGTAGAGTCGTCAACTATTTGAAGGCCTAAATAAAATGTTTTTAATTGTATACCAGTTTAATGTTGAAAATTATTTATGATTTTAATTCTTCATAGTTTAACATTACTTAAGTATTAAATGATGCATACATTTATAACAACTTACCATATTTAACTTTTAGCAACTTATTGAGAAACAGAGACTTGTTCCATAGTTCTTATAGCGTGGACTTTTGAAGATGATAAAGCTTACATGTAGGGCTAATTCTAGGTTTGTCTATGGGCTTTTTTCAGGGCTGGCTCACTTACCTTGATTTTAAACCTAGCTTTTATATAAAACAAGATTCTAACATTATTCTCATATGTGAAAACTAGTTAACAAAACTAAGGTGGTTTTATAATAAGGATTTTTATGATTATTTACAATTTTAAAATACAGAAAAAGTTGCTTTGATGTATATGTTTTACCTACTACACAGTATGTAAGGGCCTGAACTAGTTAGCTAATAATTTTCTTAATGGTAGTTGAAATAATTTTCTAGAGTTTCTAGAAATCTTCATAATAAGAGTTGCATCACTTGTAAGCCATTTTCGTTCATTGTCATCAAGAATAACCATTATGGTCCCCTCACAACATCTGATGCTCTATCAGCCTACTCTTCACAGTTTAAATTCTCCATTCATACTTGAGTCACAACTCTTTCTATTACTTGGAATAAACCCATGATTTACTTTCCATCACCCAAGATTGTGATATTATATAATACAATTTTAATTATTATGCCATGTAGAACATAATCCAACTTCATCCAACTAAACTTGTGATCATTGATAATGCCACTTTCTGACAGTTTTTGTAAGTATTTCTGAATCATGCTGATACAGTATATACTTTTCTGGTGATACTTGTATATCTTAACACGTATAAGTTACATATATTGTCATTATTTCTTAAACTAGATTTTCGTTCATATTTGCTACATGTACTTTCTTTACTTTGTTAGAGTATCTGGCTTGTATTTATATATATATTTCTTCATAGCTGTTTCCTAACTTTAGCACTATTTAGTGTGAATTTTAATTTTTTTTTATTCTAACCATTGAAATTATTTCAAGCATAAATAATAAACTTTATGAACAGTTCAGTGCATAATTTTCTTTAAGTATGTTTGTACCTCTGAAATACACTTTTAGTAAGGAAAATGCTCTTTTTTGTTTTTTAACTCTTGTTTATTATTTATAGGTAATAAACAATGTCAGCACCAGTATCAAACCAGAAACCTGTTCTAGCATCTTTTACTAGTGGAGAGCTGTTTGAAATTCCTAAGCATGATATAGTGAGTAATATCTGTCAACATTTGAAAACTAGATTATATAATTATTTCATGCTTGAAAACTTGTTAGCCAAAATAAGGAAGTTTCATGATAAAGATTTTTAAAATTTTAAGATATTTGATCATATTAAAATACAGAAAAGTTGCTGTGATATATATATATATATATTGTTACGTCTCCGTTTGTTAATTGATTTTCCGTAACTTCGTTCCGACGAAACTTAAGCGACACAAGTTCTT